TCAGCCTCGTCTGAAACCTTCGCCTTCGGGTAACTGGGTTTCAGATTGCTGACAAACTCGTCTTTTTAAAGAACTCTAGTCTTTCAGCTGAAGTCAAGCTTCAGTAAGATTTGTTCTCCAAAGGCATGAGTCCATGGACAATTCTGGGATATTGCTTTAACTGAGCCTTGTATCCCAGAAAGCCATTATCCGAAGCATTGCCTTCAGTTGGCCCTGTGTTTCGAATACCCATTTTTAAGAAATAAAGAAATTGTGGGATATGAGTCCATGGACAATTCTGGGATATTGCCTTAACCAGTGCAAGTTTATGTTCAGCAGAATTGAAGAAACAGTAAAGCATTCAAAAACAAAGCAGCTGAAGAAAAGAACATCAAATTAATAATTCATGCTCAGAAATTGAGCTACAAGTTCAAATAAGTTAAAAGACTATATCGGCAGCCGCCCACAAGCGGAAAATAATAGCTGCCGAAATACGTACAGAAGCAAAAAAAAATAAACTGTTTTGTACGACAAGGCAAGCTGAAGCAAAAAAACAAACAAGGCAAAAAATTCAGAAAGCGACAAGTCTAATGTTGAGCGCATGATGAACCGCAAGATTCTGAAGACGACTGCCCGAGTTCCTATGCTTCAGCCCGAGGATCAGACTGGTCAGCATTGTTGGGCCCCATGGTGGTCTCAGCCCCAGCAGCAGAAGAAGCAGGCTTTGCACTCTGCCGAGCCTCCCTTTCCCTCTGTTCAGCCTCCAACTCCATTCTCTCAGCTTCTTCTTCGGCTTCCTCGGCCTTAAGGATTTCAGCTTCGACTGGAGTTGCATACTTCATATGAGGGTCTTCGGGATCGTGGACCCATTCAGCACATTTGGACCAGTCCAACTTCGGCTCAGCATGAAGGCAGACTCTTCGGCACACTCTGAACCCGTTTCTGAAACCCATTTCATATTCTTCTTGGGTATAGACACGGACTTTGAGTAGAGCCTCAGCATCAGCCAACTTCTTCTATGTCTCCTCCAAGTCTTCCTTGGATTTCTTCAGCTCATCGGCGAGCTTGGAGGAGGAACCTTTCAGCTCATTCAGCTCCTGCTGAACTTGGGAAGCCTCTGTCTGAGCCTGGGCCACTTCTTCCTTTTTGGCCATCAGCTGATCCTCAGCTTCTTGGAGCTTAGCTCTCTAAGATTCAGCAGCAGCAGCAGCCTCTGAGAGTTGGACATCCCTAGCTTGGAGCATCTCTTCAGCAGCCATTCTGGTGGCTTCAAGAGCTTTTAGTTGTTGCTGCACTTCAGCTTGTGCAGCAGCTCCTTCTTGGATTCGGCTCTCAATGGTAGCCTTGAATTTGGAGATGTCCACTCCCATGTGCTCTTGGAGGAATTTTTCCCCTTCCATCAGTGGGGGAAAAACTTCCTTCTCCATAGCATCGCAGAAGGTTTTGAGGGTTTCAGCAGCTTTTTTCTCATATTCTTCACCCTTCTGCTGCTTCTCTTCAGCTGCTGCTTGCTTCAGCTTAGCAAGCTTTAACTCCTCTTTGGCTACCTTTTTGTCGTGCTCGGCAGCGTCCACCTTATCTTGTAGGGTATCTATCAGCTCTACAGTGAGAGTCTGATTGTGCACGAACTGAAAACAGGAGCACAAGTTAAAATAAAAAATAATAATAATAATAATGATAATTGAAGAGCTGAATTTTAAAGGAGATAAAGGTAAGGAAAATCACCTGCATCATCAGCAGTTGGTTAGACCTGGCTGGGTCAGGAACTGATCTGCTGGATTCGCCCATCCCAGCAGTGGCCTTCAGCGACCAGATTCTTGCCCTATCTACTTCGGACATGCCAGCAAAATCGCCGAAGTAGGCTGCAGCACCTTCTCGGTTCTGACCCCATATGAGGTCCCAGATGTGATCTGGGATTGGAATTCGGGGGGCCGAGAAACCCATTTCTCCAGATTGCAGAGTCTGGAAGGAAGGAAAGGATGACGATGGAGCTTCTTTAACTTTGGATGGCTCAGCATCCTCCTTCTTCTCAGAAGAGTCAATTATTATGACTTCTTCTTCTTCTTCAGGGGTGAGGACGAAGGCCTCAACCTCTCTTGCAATGTCTGCCGTGAAACCCTCAGCACTGGGCATCACGGCATCCTCATTCTTGTGCTCAGCAGCACTCTCTTGAACTTCTTCTTGGACCCCTCCCTTAGGTTCGGGAGTTTTCTGATCCACCTCCATCTCGGGAGGTGGCGGAGGGGTCTTTGGAGGTGATTGAGGTGGTGGTCGGGGAACCCTCGGTGATCCATTGCCTTCCTCGGGTTCCCTTATTTTGACGTCGATGGTCATCGGCCTCCGCTGAAAGTCATGTGGGCCGATGATGGCCATTCTTCGGCGCCTTTACTGAAGCGGTTGCTCGTCCATGTCTGAGTCTGAAGACTCTTCTTGTATCTGGTCTTCGGGACGAACAGGGGCTTTCCCTTCTCTGTGTCTGTTACTCTCTTCGGACTGTAAAAGACAGGGGGGAGGAAGAATGTGAGTACAAAAAAAAACAAAACAAAACAAACAAAAACAACAATAAAAGCAGACAAAATTAAGTCTAAAAGCTCACCGAGGTCTTCAGCAAAGCCTCGTCTTCTTCAGCTGCCCTAGCTGCAGCTTCTTCTTCAGCAGCCCTGGAGGACCCTTCTCCTCCTTCACAAGCTTCAATAACCCGTGCAACCTCTTCGGCCGTACGGGCAGCTTCAGCTTCTTCGTCCAGCAGCTGAAACCAGGGATCTCTCTTCTTCCACCAAGGCTTCTGCCTCTGATACAGAGCAACAACCTCAATTTGGAAGTGGGAAGAGTCTAGATGAACTTCTCTATGCCTCGGTTCAGTGATAGAGGGGGCCCGATCAGTTACAACTCGTTCTCGGTTGACGCCAAGACGAGCGTAGTTAATGCCGACGTTGGTCTCGTCCCGCTCTGAAAAAGAAAAGGGGAAAGGTCAGTTCAGTTAGGTTGGCACAGCATAAAAAAGCGAAGTGAAAGAGGAGAAAAAGAGATAATTAAAAGGCCTCGGCCCCAGCCGAAGAAGCTTACCATCCTTAAACTTTCGGCTGAGGCCGACAGCTGCTAGCATGTTCTCTTGGAAAACATAATGCGTATCGGGGAGCCAAGTCTCCGGGATATGCTGCATTCGACCGCTGCCCCCCCGGTTCGGCAGCTTGCCGAAGATGTTCTGTTGATTAAGGTTCGGGTCTGGGCCGTTATCTTCGGGGGGACTTAAACTTCCCATGTCGAGATCAGGCTCAGCAAGATACCGGGGAGCGCTGAAGACGCAAGGGTGGCTCGGGTCCGTGGGTGCTCTAACCCAAATCCATTGGCCTCTCCAGTCCTTGTCTGAAGAGTCGTTCGGCCACATGGTTAGGTACGGGGGCCGAGACTCAATCCGGTACCACCCAGAACCATGACTTCCGTGCCCACTTTGAATATTTGGCACTAGACGATGAAGCTTTTTGAAGCAGTGCAGGTTCGGCACATACCTGAAGAACTTGCAGACCCATAAGTATGTCATCATCTTTCGGATGCTAATAGGAGTTAGCTGACATAGGGAAATATTGTAATGGATAAGCAAGTCTCGGACGAATACGTCCAAAGGGAACCTCAGCCCATACTGAAGTTGTCTTGTGTACACCCTCACATACCCCGGGGGTGGGCGATGGATTCTATCGGATGCCACGGGCATTCGGCACCAATACCCGTCAGCTTCAAGGATGCCGTAATGCAACTCAATTTGTTCGGCAAACCGATACTGTTCGGCATTCTCCACCCACCATGAGTAGGGGCGGTTCTTTATCATGGCCGAAGCTACTTCGGCATCCTCCCACTCTGAAAACCCGGGAAGGATATCCCAAAGGACAGCGGGAACTTCATCGTCCCGCCCAGAAGCGCTCGGCCCCTCCGTTCTCTGAGGAGGAGCTGAAGAAATTGGAGTCGCCCTAATCCCTTCAGCAGGGTCAGACTCTGCTCTTTGTCCATTCCAGGTCCCAATCCTGTTCCTGGGATCGGGAATTGGCCTTGCTCTTCTTGGAGCATGGGCTCTACCCCTAACTCCTCTCGCCATTGATAATTTCGAAGAAAAAAGTCGAAAAAAAGGGAAGGAGTTCAAATTCGAAGAAAAATAAACTAAAATCAAAGGAATTTACCTTAATCTGAAGCGAAAGTTGCCGATTTACGAATTGGTAGTGGCGAGTCTCAGTTTCTAAGCTTAATGCTCGGGGAATTTGCGAAGTTTTGATGCGGGTTCTTGGGTTCTCTCGAGAATTCTGGGTTTGTGTTGGTGAATAAGTGAAGAGAGATGACGCGCCTCTAATTATATCTCCAGAAATGGGAATACGGGAAGTTCGCGTTTCAATTTCTCTTAAATACCCCACTAAGTAACCGTTAAACACACGACCTTGCGATTAAACTGCCCATTATCCGTCCAACTTCCACAATTATCCGCCTTAACTGTTGTTATCTCATTAATTACGGTTTAATTACGGTTTAAATTCAAATTTTTGGATTAATTAAATCATTCACTTCCCTCCTTTTCTGATTAAATCAAACCCGACCCGTCATCCTTCCAAATCGGGTCTGGGGGGCAAGTTGTTTGGGTCCAATTTAGTCCAATTGGGCCTAGTCACTGAATGATCCAATTAAAAGCCCAAGGTCAAGGTTCACCTCTCCAATTGTGCTAAAGTCAAAGATCAGTCCTCAAGGCAAGCCAATTGGGCTAAGGCCCAACTTCTCCATATATGCAAAGGTATAAAAACCATCAATATTACATTTGTACAATCATTCAAGCAGAGCCTCAAGCAATTAATTCTCTTGCATAGTGTTCTTTTTCTACACACTGTACTGACTTAGCATCGGAGGGGCCTTCCTCGGCAACACCCCGAGGCTAGTTTACGTGTGTTACTGTGCAGGAAACCTTCGGCCCAACATCACTTGGACCGAATCCAGTCTTCTCCACTTCATCGGACCTTCGACAAGGTCCCATTGTTTTCACCCGAAACATGTACTGTTTCATTATGACTTTATGAGCATTATTACTCCGTAATTATTAATGGTTAATGTGATATAATTCCTGTCAAGAAATAGAAAACAAAAATGAAAAAAATGATATAAACTCTCTCAAGAAATAGAAAACAATAATAAAAAAAATGATAAAATCCACTAGCTAAGACGTGCCACCGTCCTACTGGCCAGTAACCACCGCAAGAAGAATATAGCATAAACATTAAACAATCACCACTCCTCTCTATTTCCCTCTTTCTCTTTCTCTCTCATTCAATCGTCGGCTACCTCACCTATATTCTGTGAATCCCTGAAAATCCTGCCCTCAAGAATGTAGGCAAAAATATTTCCCTATAAATAAAATTAAAAATCCCCCAAAAATATTTCAGATTTTTTTCTTCCTTTTTCCTTTGATTCGAAGATATTTCCACCTGCACATCGATTCATTTGGGAAGAAGAAGAAATCAATGGCAACCTTGAATCAAAATCGAAGGTATAATTTCTTATTTTCTTTGTTAATCTTCTATTTCTTAACCCTAATTACAAAACCCATTTCTTCATTTTCACTCCAAGGCTTTAATGGCCATCAAAATCCCAACTTTGATTCCGATTTTACCCTTCTGGGTGATGCCCAGATCGCTAATGAGGGTAATTTTGTCAATCTTACCTCCCCTACATCTGGGTTTACTAGTTCTGGGCAAATCGTTTACAAGAAACCCTTTAAACTTGTTGATTCGAAATCTTCGAAACCAATAATTTCATTTTCTACTGAATTTACCTTTACAATTACCCCTGGTAATGGAGATGGATTAGCATTTGTGATTTTTCCTAGTGGTGGGGAACTTTCTCAGGTTTTCGATCAAGGGTATTTTGGGGTTTCTGATAAAATTGACCGTAAATTTGTTGCTGTTGAGTATGATACTCGTAAAGATGATAATGTAGGTGATTTTAATGGTAATCATGTTGGTGTAAATGTGGGCAGTAGTTTTGTGTCTAAAGATATTAGTGATGTTTCTTCAATTGGATTGCTTTTGAATGGTGGGATACCTTTGAATTCTTGGATTGATTATGAAGCTAGTTCTAAGAGATTGGAGATTAGATTGGCTGAATCTGGTAGTGAAAAGCCGGTTCAGCCTTTGATGTCGTTTTCGATTGATTTGTCGAAAATGTGGGGAGATAAGGAGGTTTTGGTAGGCATTAGCTCGTCTAGTGGGAATTCTACACAAGTGAGTAGTTTATCTTCCTGGAGTTTTAGGGTCAGGACCGTTCCTAGCTCGTTGCATTCGCAACCGCTGGATCCCCAGGCTCATAGTGATGAGGAACGGCCAATTCGAAGGAATAAGAGTAGGTTTTTGACTGTTCTTGGTGCGTTGATATTCGCCACAGGATGTGGTACATTGGTGGCATTCGTCGCATTGTTTTTCTGGGTGGTGTTATTTGGTAGGCACTCGAATGTTGTCCCTGAAATGCCTATGAATCAGGTGGATTTCAAATATGAAAAGGTAAATGTGACTGTCGATAATGATTCTCATGATACCACGAGTTGATTCAATTTTTTCGTGACAAGTATTCTTTCCCCTTGTCATGCCTTGTATGTTTGTTGTATCTTTGCTGTGTGATTTGGGTATGATCCTTATCCACCCTGTAAAATTTTCCCCCATTGTAGGTTTGATTGTAATAGCTAGTATGGTGAAGAACATTCATGATGTAGTTAGAATGTTGTAGTGAATGAAATGAAATATATTCTTTCATATAAAATCTTGATTTTTATACTGCCATTTACATTTTTTGTTCATTAATTGTTATGTTACATTATTTTGTTGTATGAGTGGTTGATTGCGGTTCTTGAATTGGAGTTTGATTGCGGTCCATTCTCAGCCTTATGCAGATAAGTTTAGGTTGTTGGTGAAAGTCTAACTGGCTAATACAAGAGGGGGGGTGAATTGTATTTGAGGTGAAATCTAAAAACTTTTTGCGGAATTTAACTAAATGAAATAGTGACGAGAGAAGATATAGGCTTTTCTAAATTTCCACTAAGTAATCAAACTCTTTACAAGTGAAGATTCAAACCCGTTAACAAGTTCCACAAATTAGGAACTTGTTCCCAACTCTCACAGAAGACTTCAGCAACGAAGCTTCCTTGACCTCACTTTACAAACTCACAATCCCAACCCCTAAGTACTTGAATACAATCTGTGATTACAAATACCTATTGCACTCAAGAATATATGAAGGAAAATAACTCTCTTTTTGTTATTAGATGGCTACTGGAATTTTTATGCTCAAGAGTTATGTTTTTCTGAGATAGTTTGCATGAGTATTTATAGAGAAGGCTTAGTCATTAACCTCCACCATAATCACGTCCACATGTCAACAACCCACTAACAACTTGTGGAGTTATCTTGACAGATTGTGATCATGAAGAGGTTTCCTAGCCTTATCTAATTAAACCACTATCCTAACAACTTGATAACCATTAGCCGTATAAAAGATTTTCTCACAGAAAAACCACTAGCTAACTTTATCAAATATTTATTTAAAAGATTATCAAAAGTTTGTTTAAAAAGATTTTATTTGAAAAGATAAATTTATTATTTATTAAAACAACTAGATAATTATCTTCGATAATTATCTTTATTAAAACTTTTACAAATTATCTTTTCTTTAAGAAATTATCTTTTAAAACTAACTTTTATTCCAGTAGTCTTTAACATAAGTCATTGAGTTCCTTTCCGACTTTATATTATTGAGTGCTCACAATTAAAACTAGAACGTGAGATTTGCACGAGGCTTTTTAAAGAATGCTACTCCGCATCCAAGTTCCTACTCCGGAACGAACTTTGCTTGAACCCTTTATTCACCAAAGACTCAAAACATTCATTAGTCGAGTTTGTCAATTTGTCCATCAAAATCAAAAGGCTCAACAAATTCCCCCTTTTTGATGATGACAAACATTGACAAACTTAAGTAAATAAAATCATCCAGGCATGCAACAGAAATTTAAAGTAAGACATGAAAACAAAAAAAAACAGAGTAATTAAAGAACTTAAAAAAAAGCTAAAAAGTATTTATTTTAAAAAGACTGAGCAAAAGAGAAAAAATTAACAAAGACTTTAAAATCTTAGAAAAAGTTTAAAAACTTAGATTACTAGGACTTTATTAACTTAGAAAAGTTTGTACCTTCGATGTGTGAGTTCCTTGGTAAACACTTTAGCCGCCATGAAGTTTGTCTTTTCCCCCTTTTGGCATTATCAAAAGATTGAAAAAAAACATTTTGCTATACTCCCACTAGACTACGTAGGGAATAGTGAGCTCAAATAATGCAAGGCAAAAATAAGTTAGGTACTAAATCATCAGCAACCTCACACAATCATATGAAAAATACGAGCCAAGTTCCGATTTAGGAAATAGAAGAGGAACATAGAGAATGTAGCAAAGGATAAAGGCGTACAAACCAAAGTTCAGAGAGATTAAACAAGACCAAAATAAAATTGTTCCTGGTCTCTGATAAAGGCACCGGTTGTGGAGACCCCGTGTTTGAGGAGGGTTTGAATGGTGGTGATCGGGTTTTTGGGGTGGTGTTTCGGTTGGTTTTCATGGTGTTGAAGGTAAAATGAAGGGAAGGAGAAGATGAATAGTGTGAATAGGAAGGAGAGAGAGTGAGGCCGGTTATGGGAGTGTATGGGGAATTTAATTGATTTGATAGATGAAGGTGGAGTGAAAAGAAGAAAAAGAGTTTAATGGGGAGGAGTGAGAAAGAAAAGTGACGGTTTAAACTGTGAGGTAGTGGGGTAGTTTTAGAGGTAGTAGGATTTAATTTGGTGAAATAATTGCACTCATCTAATTCAATGTTGATAAAATAAAATCGTAAGTTAAGAAGTTGATATACATGCTTCTTATCTTACGTAGCAAATAAGATCTTTTTGTATTTTTGAATTCTATGAGGAATAGAAAAATTCATCATGGAAAAATAAGGAAGGAAAAAGATAAGAATAAAAAATAAGATAGAAATAAAAGATAAGAAAGAAAATAACAAGAAGAAAAATAAAAAAAAACGAAAAAGATAAATGAGAGCAGATTGATTGTAAATTATGATGATAATTTACGTGATCATGATACAGAGAGTAAAGAATGATGAAAAAGGAACTTGAAACAACATGGCTCAATACTTTTAACATATTAAAAGTGTGTATAAGTGACTTTTCAATACTTCACAAATCTTTCCCCTGGGTAATTTCAGCTGTGTTATTCACACAAGATTGAGCGTAGCATTGTTAGTTACATCCGATTTTACCTTAGGGGTTCCAAACAAAAATCACTTGAGCCGTAGCATCCCCAATTCCACACGCATCTTTTCAAACTTGTCTCTGCTTAAAGGCTTAGTTAAAATGTCAGCAATTTGAAATTCAGTAGAAATAAAATCTAGCTTAATTAAGCCCTTTTCAACATTATCTTTCAAAAAGTGATGCCTTATATGTATATGCTTAACTTTAGAGTGTTGTACTGGATCTTTAGAAATGCAAATGGCACTTGTGTTATCACAATGAATAGGAACGCACTCTAAAATAATGCCATAGTCACGCAACTGTTGTTTTATCCATAGCAATTGAGAGCAACATGCAGCAGCAGCCACATATTCTGCTTCAGCAGTGGATAGAGCAACAGTGTTTTGTTTCTTGGAACTCCAAGAAACCATGCAAGAGCCTAAGAATTGGACTATACCTGATGTGCTTTTACGATTGACCAAATCTCCTGCATAGTCAGCATCAGCATATCCTTTTAGGTCAAACGAGTCACTTTTTGGATAAAACAGACACAAGTCTTCCGTCCCTTTCAAGTATCGTAGAATTCTTTTGACGGCTGTTAGATGCGATTCCTTTGGATCCGATTGAAATCTAGCACAAAGACCTACACTAAACGAAATGTCAGGTCTGCTGGCAGTTAAATATAACAAGGAACCAATCATACCTCTGTATTTTGTTTGATCCACACGAGTTCCCTTGGGGTCTTGGTCCAACCTTGTGGTTGTTCCCATGGGAGTGTGGTTTATCTTTGTGCTTTCCATACCGTATTTTTTTAATAACTCCTTCACATATTTCTGCTGATGGATCATTATTCCTTCGTTAGTTTGCTTAATTTGGAGCCCAAGGAAGAAGTTGAGTTCCCCCATCATGCTCATCTCAAACTCACTGCTCATTAAATCAGCAAAGTACTTGCACAAGGATTCATTAGTTGCACCAAAAATAATATCATCAACATAAATTTGTACAATTAATAAATGAGTTCCTTTTGATTTTAAGAACAAAGTTTTGTCAACTTTTCCTCTTTTAAAATCATTTTGTAAAAGGAATTTTGAAAGTCTTTCATACCATGCTCTTGGAGCTTGTTTTAATCCATACAGTGCTTTATCAAGTTTAAAAATATGGTTAGGAAAGTTTGGATCCTCAAATCCAGGTGGTTGTTCAACATAGACGTCTTCCTTTAAAAAACCATTTAAAAAAGCACATTTGACGTCCATTTGATAAAGTTTAAAACCCATAAATGCAGCAAATGCAATTAAAATACGAATTGCTTCTAATCTAGCTACATGAGCAAAAGTCTCCTCAAAATCGATACCTTCCTGCTGATTGTAGCCTTTAACAACTAATCTTGCCTTGTTCCTTACAATTGTGCCATGTTCATCTAGCTTATTCCTGTATACCCATTTGAGACCAATAACCTTTTGATTTGTTGGTTTGGGTTCAAGGTGCCACACTTTGTTTCTTTCGAATTCATTTAATTCCTCTTGCATGGCAACAATCCAATCAGCATCTTCCAAGGCTTCTTTGTGATTTCGAGGTTCCAGTGTTGATAAGAAGGCGTTGAATGCACAGAAGTTTCTCAGTTGGGATCTCGTCTGAGTTCCCTTGCTTAGGTCACTTATAATTTTATCCAGGGGGTGTGACCTTTGATGTTTCCATGGCTTTGGTTGGAATGATTGAGCTGGTATAAAAGTGTTATTTTGAGTTGCTCTTTCTTCCATTTCTTCATGGTGTTCTGCTTCTGCATTTGCTTCGCCTTCTGTATTTTCTGTTTCTTCTGTATTTTGATCAGAGGCTTCAGTATTATTTGGAACTTCAGTAGGTTCCTTATTAGTATTTTCAGTAATTCGAACATGCTGCTTTCTGGGAATTAATTCTTCATCTTGGTCTGTTGAACGAGTGAGACCAATTTCAAAATCTCCATCTTCATATTCCTGTATACAACCATAATTATTAGTTTCATCAAAAATCACATGTATACTTTCTTCTACACACATAGTCCTCTTATTGTAAACTCTATAAGCTTTACTATTAGATGCATATCCTAAAAAGACTGCTTCATCACTCCTTTCATCAAATTTTCCAAGATTTCTTTTATCATTATTGTGAACAAAACATTTGCATCCAAAAGCTCTTAAATGAGCAATATTAGGTTTTCTCCCTTTTAACAGTTCATAAGGTGTCTTGTCCAACATTGGTCTGAGCATGGCTCGGTTGACGATATAGCATGCTGTGTTGACGGCTTCTGCCCAAAAATTTCTTGGAAGCCCACTTGCTATTAGCATTGTTCTTGCCATGTCTTCCAATGTTCGGTTCTTCCTCTCAACCACACCATTTTGTTGTGGTGTTCTTGGCGCTGAGAAATTGTGACTTATTCCCTGTTCTCTGCAAAATTCATCAAACTTGGAATTTTCGAATTCCGTACCATGGTCAGTTCTCATATGAATAAGTTGATTACCTATTGATTTTTGTGTCTT